TATGTTTATATACATATATTTATATATATATATGTATATATATATATATGCATATGATATACATACATATATGTATACATATATATATATATATATATAATTTTCTATTGAGTATGATCTATCGATATTGCGCTCGAAGTGTGTGAACAACTATCCTAAATAGACGGCTGACGGAGTTGCACTTACACTGTGTTAATTGTTGATTGACTTCCTATTCTCAAAGATATACATCATACCGAAAGCGTGTCGTCATAGCACCCTTGGATACCGCAATCCTTGAAACTTGGCGTCGGTGACGGTGATACCGTGGGGGTTGGTGAGGGTTCAACTGTTGTCATGACTACGGTTAGAATGTGCAGTCCAAAACCGCACGCACGTGTTTATTGTAGTCACTAATTTCGTTTATATTGCTGAGCTATATATTGTTATCGAACTGTATGTGCTTTGTCGAGTTATATGTATGTTTTCGAGTTCTAATTTGTTTCGAGAATTTATGAATGTTACTGTGATGATACGGCACCACTGTACGGTCGTGGGATTATCTACAATTGCTATGTAAAATCTCATCTAACTAGTCTATCTTCCATCTAATTAGTAAATACATGGTACTGTGAATATATTGTGAATTCACAATCAGAGAACGCAACGTATTATTTAGAGGGCTATGATTTATGTAGCTCTATATTTTAATATTTATATACCCGCCACGGTGGAAGCGAAGCCTCGCTGTTCGTCAGGACTCCCGAGTCTTGACGTTTGATCCACCGTCTCAGGACTCTCAGCAAACCGATTTCTGATTTTGATTTTAGCCATTTACTCCAACTATTAAAAATGCCATAGGAATTATGCATGGTTTAAAAGGCAATGATTGGTTAATGCCTGGTGAGCATTGTGGATCGTTTATATTACTGTACGAATGAAATATCAAGTACTTTTAAATTTTTTGAGTACATATTTTATATAGGGGGGGGGGGGTGGTTTGGTTCGAATGCAGTAGACCCGGTGGCGGTGCCAGGTGGCCAGGCGCGGCCAGTGGTGCACTCACTGCTATTTACTACAAAACAGTAAAAAAGTCTAGTACAGTAGGAACAAGGTCTTTTGGGGGAGGGGGGGGGGGTTAGGGGGGGGGTTTAAAACATATATTTTGATTTTGGGCAGTACACTGAAGTCTGAATTACTGATGACTGGATGAGGGCAGTGAGGCCGGCGCGCCAGTCGCCGTCAAGCGTGATGCAGCCATTATGCACCTATAAAATTTCAACAATAAATATATTTACTCCGTGTCTCCGACCCTTCTTGACTTTTTTTTTCTTCAAATTTTCAGTTATTATAACTTTTTTTGTACACACCGTCAGTCCGTCACACGTTGGCCGTTGCCGATTCGGGAGATTCCTGAAAGCAGAAACTCGGGAACTGAACGATGGACAACAAGAGAGAGCAGAAAGACTGAGAGACTGAGAGAGACTGAGAGACTGAGAGACTGAGAGGCTGAGAGACTGAGAGACTGAGAGACTGAGAGACTGAGAGACTGAGAGACTGAGAGACTGAGAGACTGAGAGACTGAGAGACTGAGAGACTGAGAGGCTGAGAGACTGAAATCTGAAACCAATTTTCAAAAATATGTAATAAATAGTAGTAGTAGTAAATACAGCAGGGAGATGAAATAATAGTATGGATAAAATAAACAAAATGTCGAGTCTGAAAGTCATTTGTAAAGAAGCGGTACAAAATAACTCTCAGGATGCAAGCTCTACGTAACTTAAGAACACTTGCTATCGCACAGCCGCGCACCCTTGTCAGCCAGAATGCGGGCATCCTTTCCAGATTCTATTCGGCGCACTCGAAAAGTAAGTACCACATCCTATAAGATCAGGTTCCCATAAAAGTTTGTAGTCGAGCTTATTTCTGAACAAGTAGGGCGCTATTCACCTCGAAAATTTGGTGAACGTATTTGTAAGGTCATGTATTTTATCCTGCTGAATCATATCGTTTACTATACGATTTTGTAGCCCAGCAATATTATTCGTCAGCTTCTATAATGGAATGTTGGCATAAAACGTCATATTATTATTTTTAAATTTGTCACCGTGTATGTTCGAATCAATATAGTGTTTCTGTGTATCTACATTCCTTTCTTGTCGGAAAGTTAATGCACTAACCATATCAAATTTTGTATCCATATAGAATTATAAGAACATTTGTATTATTGCAATCTTATGCACTCATTATTATATTCATATACACCTATTTGCACCCATATACACACGTATATGCACATATACTACACATATACCAACACACATACACATAGACAAACATACACATACACATACACGCAGATACACGCACACGCATACGCTCGCCCACATTCACATAAAAATTCACACACACACACACGCACGCACGCACGAACGC